GATTCTTTTTCATTATTATTATTATTATTATTTTTTTTTGGGGTGATCGATATGGAATACAAACCCCTTCTCTTAATTCGAAGCGAAAGGTTGTGATTTCAATTCCATGGAGTACAAATTTTGATTTGCATCAATTAATTTGCACAGCATATTATATTGGATGTGTTAATTAAGTGAGTGATTGATGGGTGATGACTAGATTTTGGAGCTATCTACAATAATTAACACAATAATTATTATCATCAATCCCATCCAAAAACAAAAACAAAAAAAATTATTATTATCATCAAGATTTTAGTGCATGGAACCCAGCCCTACCTACCTGTAAAAGGAGTCGCGAGGCTGCCCCATCCCATGTGTTATAAATCATATGTACAACTCATTAATTTTGAAGAAAAAGAAAATCATATGAGTAAAATTAAGTACAAAAAATTAAATCACAAAAAATGTATGGATTCATATACCCATGTGAGCATTAATTGTGGATATTTTTATGTGATCTAATTTTGTATATGCAGAAAGTGTTGTTTTCATCACATAAATTAAGGGTTAGGAAATCGACCCTCTGTCTCGTTTCTCTGTTTCAATTCTCGCCTCGCGTATATCGTTTTAGTATTGTTAAATAATTGATTAATTTAATTTTCTTTATTATTGTTTGAATAATGTATAGAGAGGTAGAATAGATTGTATATATTCATATGGTTAGGGGCTCCTTATATAGGAGACGATTTACAAATTGTAATGATGAAAATCTAAAGCACTAACATTGCACTATACATTAAGTATAAACCACTAACATAAAGCTAACACACTAAGCTAACACACTAACAATTATTAAGAATCTTTTGCTTATTAAATGAAGAATAACACTACTCTATAAAAAGCATACAACAAGCTGTACATTTTTCACTTATGAGGAAGTGTTAGGTATAGCTTTTGATGGATCAATTCAAGAGTTTCGCCAAACATTTTGACAGGCAATTAATGAGAGCTAAAACAGAAATTGACGTGAGATAAATGATATGTTTAGTGGTCCTGGTTTCATGGATATTGAGAATAATTTTATATATAAAATAATAAAAAAAAATGGCACAACTACTACAACTTAACATTTCATTGATATTGCAGTTTGGGTGCTTTGGTGGGCTGATTTTGTGGGGAATCATGTATTTTATTTTCTGTTAAGTCTTTCTTAACTTTTTTGTTTAAAAAAATCGTGAGACCGAGGGGTTAGTTGTATGGTTGCGAGTAGCAGTAGTAGGGATATTTTGTACTTTCCGAATCTCTCTCAGTGTATTTCATCTTCCTGTACCTTTAATTTCATGTTAATTAATGAAATTTTTCTTTGCTGATCAAAAAAAAAAAAACTTAACATTTGATAGTCGAAACAAAAAATAGGAAATAAATAAGATTTGAGTTTATTATCCTCATCGTGTCTCATTTTTATGTAACTTGGGTTGTTCAAAATGTTTAAAAAGTCGTTTTTTTTTTTTTTGTTCAATAAGCTAAAAGGTTAATTTGTCATTAATAAAAAAATAACTTTATCATTTTAAGAAGAAAAAAAAAAACGTCACTAAACCTTCAAAAAAGAAAAAAATTAAAGTCGACTGCAAAAAACGACCGTTGTTGCATATTGAACGACTAACTCTACCACCTCTATACTTCGAACACCTAAAAAGAGTTAGACTCGAGACCACATCAACCAAACATGTTCTTCTATGCAATACATGCGCCTATGGCCTTACTATAAACAAAAATGTTAGACATTTCAAAAGTTTTATTAAAATTTTTATCAAATACATGAAACTCACATAATGTGAGTTCCACATCCATGTAAAACATTTGATAAAAATTTTGGTAGAATTTTTGGAACCTCTATCATTATTTAACTATAAAACGAGGAGGACATGTAAGAAATTAATGTACATGTAATCATAATAATTATGCAGAATTAAATTTTATAGGATCTTAAATTCAATACATTTCAAGAATAAAACGAACATAAATTTGTCAGTTATTGAATTAGAGAAGTTAAGAAAATACCCCTAATAGTTAAATCTTGAATTCTTGGCTCACTTTCTTCTCTCTATCTCTCTTAATTATGATGACTATAGAACTTAAAGTGATGGAAAAATATTCATATTATGTTAGGGGAGTCACCCATCCACCTGTTCAGATTTTGAAGAGGAGGGTGTTGTTTGAGCCGTGAGATTTATCACAAATCTTATTTTGATGATCTGAATTGTTTATTTTATCTGTATTTCATTTACACAAAAAATTAAGTTGATTCGCTAACGGTAGCTTATTCAATTTATCACATTTTTAACCAAAAAAATTTGTATTTTTAAAAATAAATCATACATTTTTTTTTTTGGTTAAAAACACAATAAATTGAACAAGTTATAATTATCGGATAGACTTAATTGTTTGTGTAGATAAAATACACAAAGTAGTCGATAAAATGAACAGTTCCAATCATCAAAATAAGACCCGTGGTAGGCTCTACGAGCCCTAATAGCATCCTCCAATCTAAAATCTGGATTGGAGGGATCATCCTCCTTAAACAAATACATTATGTTACTATAAAAACATTATTTAGAATTTTATCTAAAATTAAAATACAGTCATAAGATTATTTTTAAATATGACCCACAGCATATTAATTTTAAGTTTACACCTTTTATTTCATTTTCAATATAAATTCTAGCTGAAATTTAACTGAATTTTCATGATAACAAAAATTAGGAGTTATAATTATCGGATAGACTTAATTGTTTGTGTAGATAAAATACACAAAGTATTCGACAAAATGAACAGTTCGAATCATCAAAATAAGATCCGTGGTAGGCTCTACGAGCCCTAATAGCATCCTCCAATCTAAAATCTGGATTGGAGGGGATCATCCTCCTTAAACAAATACATTATGTTACTATAAAAACATTATTTAGAATTTTATCTAAAATTAAAATACAGTCATAAGATTATTTTTAAATATGACCCACAGCATATTAATTTTAAGTTTACACCTTTTATTTCATTTTCAATATAAATTCTAGCTGAAATTTAACTGAATTTTCATGATAACAAAAATTAGGAAAAAATTCATACAAAAGTGATGTGATTATGCTATTTTGATAAATAAATATCATTTTTATGAGTTTTATCTTAAAATAAATTATTCAAATTAAATTACATCATTATATATAAAAAATTTATATAAACTGTTAGTTATAATTTCACATCAATTTGTATGTTTGAGAAAAAAATCAAATTAGTGATAAATGTTATAAATATTAAAAAATAAAATTATAAAAAAAATTATATTTAATTTTTAAAAGCATCACTAATATATAATTTTTTAAAATTTTTATTCCTATAATAAAAATTATATTCTTAATATGTATAAGTTCATAATATGATTTACAAGTGATACGACCGCAAGGAATGGTCGGTTCGGCTACTATTCACACTATGTTTACTTTCAGTTTTTTTGAAAATATTTTTCAGAAAATATTTTTAAAAAAAAATTATTTTCTTATTTTTCGTATTTTTTTGTTTTCATTGAATTTTTTTTAATATTTTAAGAATTTTTTTTAATTTTTAGATATACCTAACATAAATACACTTAAAAAGTATAATTTTCGTGAAAAAATCTTTAAAAAATTCACTAAATACCAAAAATATAAAAAAATACAAAATTTTAATATATTTTTCATATTTTTGTGTATTTATTAATTTTTTAAAATATTTTTTCACAAATATTTTATTTTTTAGATACATCTAAATAATGTGCATCTAAAAAAGTGAAAAAAAATACTTAAAATTTTAAAAATATTCACGAAAAATAAAAAACTCAATTTTTAAAAAACTAAAATCAAACACACTGATTAGAATTTTTTTTGTGATTGATAATTTTAAAAAATTGACGCCTCTTAGCAACGGAATTAGGAGAAGATTATAGGGGTCATGGCCCTTTTGTTTCTGTGAAAAATATTATGTGTCATAATACTTTTAAAATATATATACCATTTTATACATAAAATGACTTTTTTAGTACAAAAAACATATATCTCATTCTTTTCTCATCTTGCACTCTCTTTCTATTTTGCATCAATTTTTTATTTATTTTTTCATCCTATTAGATATTGTTTGTATGGTATGTGAAGAATTATTGAAAGCTTTTTTTTATTAAATTCAATATGTGATTAATATATCTAACAAACTAATAATATCTGTAACTAAATTCTAACAAACTCTATCTTCTAGCTAACTATGACATCAGTTGTAGCTTCAGTTTTGGATTTAGCTGGTTAGTTGTTAATGGCAGCTCCTGTGTGGCTTGAGCTGCTGATGCAACTCTAAATGCTGTGGCTCTATAGTTGTAATATTATCAATATGTAATTTTTTTTCTATATATATATATATATAATTTATATATTATATTGTATATATATGTATATTTGTGTATATGTTGAAAAAAATTATTTTTTTTTTACCCTTCTGATAACCCTGACAACCATAAATTTGTTAATATTTTTTTTATTATTATGTCGTGATTGAAACCATGCTGTGCACATAAATTATTATATATAAGTGTGTATTATTCTTCTTCAAATTTGATATATATATTTTAAAGAGCCCTTTATTTATTAGCAATTAATTTTAAATTGAATAATAACATAGTATCACAATTGGGTCTTGAGTTTTGGCCAAGTCTCCACGTGAGTCTATTCTGAGAAATTAATATTTATTTCTTGTCATTTCTCTAAATCACTCAACTATAAAAAAAAAATAAATAAATAAATAAAATAAATGATGAACCATATCAAAACAGCAGTATTACATACCTAAAAAAAATCCAGAATTTTAAATATATGGCCAAAATTCACTTAAAAAGAGGCATCACAACAACTATAAATTTAAATTCACACCCTCGATCTATGATAAAAATCTGGTGGCTTTTCTGGTGTCATAGAATTTTCCATGCCAAAGAAGAGAAATTTGACAAATACTTGCATTTTATTATATGAATGACCTCTGAAGTTATCAAGAGGTCAAAGACATTCATACACAAACAGATCGGTCTAACACACACACAGACATACATGCATGGACCAGTGCAATATTATACTACAAGACAAACTATATCGAAATAAATCAAAACAACATGAGAACCCATCTTTTTACTTGCTTTGTTATTCTTCTTCTTCTTCTTTCTCTCGGTGTCGCTTTCATTCTCTAACTCTATAAAAAGCTCGACAACACTTTCTTTATTGTGATGCTCCCCTTTCCTGCAAGAATGTAATGGCTTTCTTTTATTGGATTATTTTGTACACATTTTTATAAATATAAAAAAAATGTCAACATCGACTATGCGGGTATGTATATAACAAATCATGATCCAAGTAAAGGTAATAAAGTGCCATTTGTTTAGATTGATTGCGGCTTTGCTGTTGTGGCCTAAAAGCTAATTTATTGGCTAAAAAGTCATTAAAAATGTCAAATAAAAAAAAGAAAATATCAAACAAATTAACTTTTTTAACATTAATTGTTTTGCACTCATATTTTTAATGAATAAATTAGCTTTTAACAAACTCTCAGAGGATTTTGTTGATGTGCCATGGAGTGATTTCACTTTCAAATTGTAATGCTAGCAAATTAAACCATACCACTTAAGCTTACCTTAGAACTATCATAGTCATTCCTTAGTAGTGGTGGGGAGGAGGAGGCGAAGAGTAGTAATAATGGTGTGACGGTGGTGGTGGTGGTGGGGGAGACTTATATTTGTAAACTGGAGGAGGAGGAGGTGGAGACTTGTACTTGTAAGGTGGTGGAGGAGGAGATGAGTATTTGTAGGGCTTCTTGGGTGGTGGCGGTGGTGGAGACTTATATTTGTAGACTGGAGGAGGAGGAGGTGGAGACTTGTACTTGTAGGGTAGTGGAGGAGGAGATGAGTATTTGTAAGGCTTCTTGGGTGGTGGCGGTGGTGGAGACTTATATTTGTAGACTGGAGGAGGAGGTGGTGGAGACTTGTACTCATAGGGTGGTGGGGGAGGAGATGAGTATTTGTAAGGCTTCTTGGGTGGAGGTGGTGGAGACTTGTATTTGTAAACTGGAGGAGGAGGAGGTGGAGACTTGTACTTGTATGGTGGTGGGGGTGGAGATGAGTATTTGTAAGGCTTCTTGGGTGGTGGCGGTGGTGGAGACTTGTATTTGTAAACTGGAGGAGGAGGAGGTGGAGACTTATACTTATATGGTGGTGGGGGAGGAGATGAGTATTTGTAGGGCTCCTTGGGTGGTGGAGGTGGAGACTTATATTTGTAAACCGGAGGAGGAGGAGGTGGAGACTTGTATTTGTAAGGTGGTGGGGGAGGAGATGAGTATTTGTACGGCTTCTTGGGTGGTGGAGGTGGTGGAGACTTGTATTTGTAAACTGGAGGAGGAGGAGGTGGAGACTTGTACTTGTAGGGTGGTGGAGGAGGAGATGAGTACTTGTAGGGTTTCTTGGGTGGTGGCGGTGGTGGAGACTTATATTTGTAAACCGGAGGAGGTGGTGGTGGTGGTGATTTGTACTTGTAAACTGGTGGCGGTGGAGGTGGAGATTTGTATTTGTAAGGATGTGATGGTGGTGAGTAATGCACTGGCGGAGGAGGTGGTGGTGATTTGTAGTAGTAAGGAGGAGGAGGTGGTGGAGGGGACTTCTTGGGAGGAGGTGGAGATGAGTAATTGTAGTTTGCTGTGGTTTCTAATGGCAAGCTCAGAGACACTACTGCCAGTAGGACAGTGGTGATGAGAGAGGCCATTGCAGACCTCCTCCCTTTTGTTCCCATCTTCATTAGAAATTGGGTTTTTGGATATGCTCATAAGCAACCCTCTCAATTCCTTTATATAGCTCAGGTCTTTTAACTTTTAACACCTAGGATAATAATCATGGTAAAATGTCATTTAAGTCAGACTAATTTAGTAATTTTTTTATTATTTGATTAAAATATAAATTAAAAAAAATTAGTATGTTTGGAATAATTTTTTGACTTTTTATGAAAAGATGTGTAAAAAGTAGAGAGAAAAGAGAATTTTTGACTTTTTTATATGAGTTGTTGACTTTTTAATTTTTTTTAGTAATTTTTTAACTTTTTTTTTAGTAACTTTTAATTTTTTAACTAAATGGGCTGGTTCCAAACGAGCCCTAAGTGTCACACCATTGTAACGAATAAAGACACATAATATAACAAATACAAAAATAAAAAAATCCTTGTTTGAATGGGTTGTCACTTTGGATCAAATTTGACTAGAGTTGGTATTGTTTAGTTGCAGGGATTTGTATGATAGAGACTGCTAGCTAAGCATTGGAATAATAGTAATATTTTAAATTCAAATTAATCTATTCATAAGTTATTTAAAAGGGCAAATTAAAAAAAAAAATTAAGGTTTTGTGTATTTTTCAATTTAAATCGCAGGGTTTCAATTTTAATAATTAAAACCCTGATATTATTTTTGTGTCATAATTTAGCCATCTCATCCATCCCCGCCTTGATAAACTAATGGAAATCTTAAGAAAATTTTTAGATTCAAACTCACATGTTCAAAATATTATATCTTTGTCATCGTAACTCCATTTCGCCTCATTTTCACATCGTTAAATTCACCTCATGACCTAATTTTTTTTTTCACCCTTCATACTTTGTTCCACCTCTTTTTACATGCCGTCGAAACTCTAAAAGTTGGCCAAAAATAAGATTCCTCTTCTTTTTTGTTCTTCTTTTTCCCCTCTATCTTCTATCTCCATATTTCTTCATTCTTCTTTCCTTTTCACAATTATTCTCTTTTTTTTCTCTTCCTTTGTGGCCCTTCCACCGAGCTCATACGGGCTACTAAATTTGGCGTGGTTTTTTAACTTCTTAACTAGGGACTATGTTTTACAAACAAGCACATTTTCATTGTGAAACATAAAGAAAGGTACAAACATAGTAAGCCCACAAACATAAACATCCTAAAGCCATATTTGTTTGTCAACATTTTAAGGAGTTTCCAGTTCCGACGCGCTGCTCATATCAAAATGCAATATTATGTCTATAACTTAGTATCCATAAAATGTAAAATTGCAGAAAACAATCGATTTGAATGCAAAACCTACAATCAATTCGGTGGCCATCATGTGTTCGGTGGAAGGCCATAAACGAAAAAGAAAATAGAGAATAATTGTGAAAAGAAAGGAGGAAGGAAGAAATATGGAGATAGAAGATAGTGGAAGAGAGATAGAGAGATTCTTATTTTTGGCTAACTTAGGAGAAGGCATGCAAAAAGAGGTGGAACAAGGCATATGAGGGGTGAAATGAAAATTAGATCATAAGGTGAATGAAAATGAGGCGAAACGGAATTACGACAAGAAAGATATAAAGGCTTCAACGCGTAGGTTTAAATATGAAAATTTTGCTAAGGTTTCTATTAGTTCATCAGACAGAGATGGACAGAGAGGCCAAATTGTGATATGGAAGTAACATCAGGATTTTAATTGTTAAAATTGAAACCCTGGAATTTAAATTGAAAAACACGCGAAATCTTGAAAAAAAAAAATTTGTAATTTACCCTATTTAAAATTATTATCTTGTGGTTCAGAGTTTTTACACACATTGACTCTACACTAAATAAATTTAATTTCCACTACATAACAACCCACCAAGAATTTTTTGGGTGAATACCTCTAGGTGGATCTGTAGACTTATTCTTGGAACAGTAGTGATAGAGGCCTCGAAATTTGGCTCGAATGCCGGTTTTTTTTTTTTTTTTTTTTTTCCGGCTGTTGTGTGTATTAATATATTTTTTTTAAAAGTCTAATATAAAATATTATACATTTTGCACCATCTCATCATATAAAATTATATGAAATTAAGAAAATTTAACTAACAGCTTAACTGATTAGTTAATTTTATCACTTAACCGATCCAACTTAATTGACTGATCAGTCAGACTGTTGATTAAAATTCGTTAATTCTGTATAATTTTGTACGATGAGTTGGTACAGGATGTCTAGTTTTTTGGCACACCCCTACACATAACTACCTTTAAAAAAAATTTAAAAAAAAAAAAAAACCAACACAGCCTAACAAATAAAATTAAATTAAATTTAAAAAAAAATTGATCAGTCAATTTTATTACCCAATCAATCTAACCCAACTCACTTATAAAATGTTTAATTTTTTAGCACACCCCTATATATAATCACCCCTATAAAGAAAAGAGAGAAAAAAAAATTAAAAAAAAAACCAAACTAACACGGCTTTGAAAAAATAAATAAATAAATAAAAATATGGATTTCGAGGCAAATTCGAGGTCTCAACCATTTTCCTTCTTGGAATAAAGTTCTATGAATACAAAATACTATAGTGTAAACTATCAATAGGTCATAATAATTAAACTTAATTCTTATTAAGTCCTATTGAAAATTAATGTCGCTAAAAATTGACAATTATTGACTTTTTTATCAAATTTTTAGAAATTGTCGTTAAAACTTACAATTAGTAACGTTTTTCTATGACTGATTTTTTAAATTGTCGTTGAAAGTTGAAAATTAATTACGTTTTTTTTTTTGTGCTGATTTTTTTAAATTATCATTAAAACTTATAATTAGTGATTTTTTGTGACAAATTTTTCAAACTGTTACTGAAAATTAACAATTATTGATGATTTTTAATAGTGTTTGATGAAAAATATCATTATTTATCACAGGACCTATTGAGCAATAAATTTACTTATTAAGACATACACGTAAGTCTTCCAATACTATAATTCTTCTTTTTTTAAGATGGGTACAGAATACTATTATTGGTTGGCCTTTTTGTGAATCAATAATGTTAAAGATAGTGATGTTTGTTACTTATATATGTTATCCATTTATTTCATATGTTTTGTGTCTATATAGTCTTGTGTGTATGTATGACTAATTATATTTAAAAATTAATACAACCCATCATGTTACACACGAAATCATGTAGAAGGTACCCAAAAAAAAAATTGAGAAATATTGTAGTGTGTAACAATCCTGTAATTTCAAACGAGAGGTGGTAATTGTCACATAATTTGTTTTATCATTCTATTTTTCGGTGGGAGTGACAAAGGACGTGCTCATACGATTGAAATAATCAACTCGTTGATTGTTGGGAACTATAGAAAATCATTTCATAAAGGGGTCTTTACTAATAAATGCCCAAAAAGAAGAAGTATAAAACCACAAAAGCCATTGACTGGCACCGTTTGAGAAGAAGTTGGTTGGGCTTTTTTGGCTATTTTAGCCACAAAAAATAAAATAGGCTATTTTAGCCATAACAAACAAAACATCACATCCAACCCATAATCATTACACTCTTCTCTCACAAAAAAAGTCAAAAAAGCCAAAAAGCCAAAAAGTCAAAAAGCCCTTCCCAAACCAAGCTTTTTAGCCCAGGCTAAAATAGCCAAAAAAGTCAAAAAGCCAAAAAGCCAACCCACTTCCCAAACGGAGGCTTAATAATTTCAAACTTTTCTTTTAGTTTCACCATTTTCAAAATATTTTTTACACAAATTTTAATATTAAAGAATACCCTAAAGTCATTTGTTAGCATTTGTCAAATTAAAAATTTTGAATAAAGAATAATAAACTGTTTTACCAAAAAATTTACACAAAAAATTGCTCTAATAGTGTCATTTGAATAACTAAATTGATTTCAATAATTTTTTTTTTTTTTTTTTTTTGATAACGCAAGTATCCCCAGCCTTCTGATTTTTCAGGAAGGCAGGACTAATCTTACGAGATAAAGAGTCCGGGAGAAGCCGTGTATCTTTTTCAAACTGTTGCAAGTATTCACCCAGTAGGGAATCGAACCCGTGACCGTGCGCCTTATTCACACAGCCACGTGTGCACCCTCACCACTGGGGCAACCTGCCCCTATTTCAATGAACTCTTTATTCTTAAGTGATTGGCTCAAAACTCAACAAGTCATTAGGTATGAATTTTATATATTGATTTTCTATTTATATATTACTCTTGTTTAATTAAATATTCTAGTAATAAATTTATTTGTGTATATATTTATTTGTAGAGGCGAGTTTTGAAAACATATGAATGCCTAACTCTTCATGAATTTTGGGCGCAGGGACCAGGCGGCTTGACTTTCATCTCTCTCTCTCTCTCTCTCTCTCTAGTGTGGTGGGGTGTGAGTGTGTAATTATGAACAATAATTCATTTTCAAAATATGCATGGCTTTGGTTTCTGTGGGCTTAGGATAAGATACGTAACTCATTTGTCTTCTTTCCTTCTATTTTTATTGGTTGATTTTAGAACTTGATTCTTTAATTATTTATTTCCATCTAGGGCATAGTTTGCCAATTAGCTTTGTCTCCTATCATCTCTCTAAATTATTAAAATTTGTTTAATATATTCAACAGGTCTTTCTGGTTATTATCAATTAATTTTGAATTTCATATTTTAATATAATTATATAATTAAAAATGCATTTGATACAAAAGAACAAAAAAATTTACCACAAAGAATCGTTTGCCATGTAGCACACGTTATGGGATTGTGTTGTATTGCCTATTTATTATTCGACAATGCTACGTAGCTCAAATTTTGTGGCTCAAAAGTGGCTCAAATGGCCAAAACGACGTCGTTTTGAGTACAGAACAACATAAAAATAGTCAAAACGATGTCGTTTGAGCCACTTTTGAGCCACAAAAATTGAGCTACGAGACATTTTCCTTTATTATTCATTAAAAGAGCTACTTCTTGTGGATAAGAGTAACATTGATCATTCAAAACAATTACTTCTATCGGAAGGGTAGGTATAGGTAATTTGTTTCATTCAACATTTTGATGGATATTTGTGGATGGAATTAAAAAGAAAATAGAAGAAAAAAATACGTAAAATATAATTTTTTATTTTTTTCTTTGTTGTCCACCAATCACTTCTTAAATTATTATTCCAAACACAACCTTAAAAGGGAGAGAGGGAGGGATAAAAGAAAGTGGCATTATGAATAACAAGATATCTTTGTTTGGTTATAATTTTTATTTTTTATTTTTTATTTTTTTTCCATTTGAATTTCTCACACATTTTCTAGAGAAAACTGGAAAAGTAAAAAAGGGTGTACAACATTTTCCTCACCAAATAATGAAGCAACGCTGGGCTTAGCTGGCGTATGTTCCCTTCAATTACTCTGACATTCTTTGAATGTCCTCACATTGGAATATTTAAAGCTGTGTTTGGTACAATTCTGAAACTAAAATTTCAGAATTTATTTTGCTTTTGATGTTTGGTGAGGAGTTTCAAATTATAATTCTATACTTACTTTTGAAAATTCGGTCAAATGCGGAAAAATTTGGACTAACCGGTCGTCTGGCCGGTTAATCGGCCAATTGAATGGAACAGTGCAAATATATATATATATATATATATTTTTTTTTTGCAATTGACATATGTTAATTTTTATATAATATATTTGAAAAAAAATATTTTTTGAATTTTTTAAAAAATTTTATGAGCTTAATAGAATTTTGAATTGTATGTTTGGTTATGAATTGTAAGTTTTTTAATCAAATATCATATGTCACATTAAAAATTTTCCACTCAATTCAAAATTCTTTTCAAAACTTTTTCACCAAACAAATTTTTTACACTCAAATTATAATTCCAAAACTCATAAACTCAAGTTACAACTCTTACTCTCAAATCATATTTAAAAAACTCTACCAAACGCAACCTAAGCCTTTTCTTCTTCTTCTTTTCTCTGTAAAAGGAAAAGAACACAAATATGTTTTGAATTAGATAATAAAGTGGCAAAACAAAAGTAAGAATTTTAAATTAAAAAATAGAGAAAAAGGAATTAAAGTAAAAAGCAATTGCAATACAATGAAATCTAGAAACAATAATTACATGGTGTGACATGAGTAAAAGGCTTAGCAATCAAGTTTAATTATAATTTTGAAGATTTGAACAAGTTTAAAATTAGCATTCATACAAATAAGAAAATGGGGGAAAAAGTTAAAAAGCAACCACTTGCATTATATTCAAATACTGATAAATGTTAAATTTATATCTGCTTCACCTCTTAAAGATCAACACTGGGAAATAATTTTTTTTTTTTTTTAATTCTTAAATTCAGAAATGGTGTTGAATGGAGGAAAAATTAGAATAGATGATTTAAATAGATCCAATCTTGGGCCGAAGTCGAGCAATCTGACAGTATTTCATTAGGTCCAACCAAGTAGTGCCACGTTGCATTAAGTCTGCAATCTCATGTAGTGGTCAAAGAATGGTTTTAAAAAATTAAAAAAAAAATTAATATTATTCTAGTAAATTTATAATTAAGAGATCAGTTAATTATCGATGTTACTACTTGTTAACGTGAGAAATTTTCCGTACACACCCCCCAAACATATTATTCATGTATTAAATAATAAATTTATAAATTAAATAAGATATAAAATATATTATTTACATATTTTATTTTATTTTATCCATATGTTAATTAATGTTTAATAATAGAGTACAATAATAAATAGGTTGTATATTATTATTATACAACTAAAAAAATGTGTGAGAAATCCAATGCAAAAAAAAAAAAAATGAAAAAAAATTACCACCGGCATTAGATTATATGAACAACCAGATATCTTTGTTTGATTATTTTATATTAACCATATGTTAATTAATGTTTAATAATAGTTTACATTTTCTAATGTTTAAAATGATATTCATTCATGCTGTGTTTGGTTAGAAAATTTAAGGAGGGATTTAGAAAAGAAAATAGAAAAGATAAATGAAATATGAATAAAATATACCTATATTTTACCTAATTTCACACACATTTTTCTTTTTCTTTTTCTTTTTCTTTTTCAAATTTCTCACCAAATCTCCAACCAAACACATCGTCAATGAACCCGGAATATGTTTAATGATAATAAAGTCAGTCTATCATACTTAAAAAATTACCACCGACACTAGACATTGAACATGAGATGCAATTGACATGTAAAATAAACAATTACTACAAATACTAGCTACTTCCAATGATAATAAAGTCAGTCTATCATACTTTAAAAAATTACCACCGACAATAGACATCGAACATGAGATGCCATTGACATGTACCCGAGCATAATAAACAAATATACTACAATACTAGCTACTTCCATGTCTCTATATAAAATGCATATTTAATATAAGGTTCCAAGTAACAACTTGTTAATATATATATATATACACTACAGAAAATTATATATAAATAGACTATATACAAAGTTGCGTACATATAGTATAATGTGTGAAACTTTTGACCTATCATTTTAAAATTAAAAATCTATCAAGATATTTTTTATTTACAAAAAATAAAATAAAATAAAATAAAAGAGTAGCAATTTCCTAATTAATATCAACCCTGGCTTTTGGGCATAAGCTAGGGTTCGGGTATCAATTCCAGCTTGTCTCAAGTTGAGATCAAGACTGGACCCGTCCAGTTTGGTCTATGAAGCCTATTTTTTGGGCCCGTTTTGATAATCCGAACTGTCAATGTGTAGAACTCGTCGAATACTACATATTTGTAAAAAATCACGTTAATCGGATATCAATAACTATGTGATCAAATCAATTTTGTATAAAAAAAAAAAATGGACGGTGAAACAATTAACGGTTTATAAAAAACTGTTTTGTTCATATAGCTATCAATATCCGATCAATGTGATTTTTTACAGGCATATAGTACTCGACGAATTCTACACATTGAACGGTTCAGATTATCAAAACAGGACCCGTGGTGAGCCTCCACGGACCCAATAGCACGGTCCAATCCGATCTTGGACTGGACCAAAGCCACTGCCAATTAATAAATATATATCCTTGTTTAAGACGTTAAGATATAAGATAATTATTCCACTACAAACATTTTGTTCCCCGTTATTGACGGAAGGTCATCAATCTCTACCAAATCTGTGGTGTAAAAGGCTTGTCCACGCCACTCACCCTCTCTCCCTCTCGTATATAATATAATCATCAGATCTCTGTCGGTTGATATGTATATATGACACACCTAGTTTAGGAACCAAATGTTTTACTAATATTTCTAATTTAGAATCTCAAATATTTTATTAATATTTTTACTAAATGTCTCACGTGGTGTTGTGAAACCCACACCATGCAATTTCTTTCTAAATCTTACACCTCATGTGAGATATTTAATAAAAATATTAATAAAACATTTAGATCTCCAATATAATTCTTTCAGAAATAATGTACATAGATTGAGAGGTGGACATGAAAATTATTGTTAACATGTGGGACACATAAATTAATCAAACCGCGATCTTCTCCATGAATAAATCAATCCACCTCCAGAAAAAATGCATTATCATATCACATCCTGCAAAACTACCACTTACCCTGGCGGTACCAATTTTTGAGAAGTACTATATTAGTATATTTTTTAAATTTTATAAAAAAAAATATATAAAATGTGAATTAAAATTAAAATGATGTGATAAAAAGATAATATATTATCCAAATATAAAGTAATATGACTCAAATAAAATGATTGTAATTTAAATAAAATAATATGTTAAAATTGCATATGCCATTTTAACCCATGCCAAACAAATTCTCAATCTTGCTGACTATATATAGGTTTTGTTCACAATAGGTTCTATTTATGCGTAATTTTGTTTGGTTCTATTTTTCCAAAAACACTTTTAAAAAATTCTACTTTCTTATTTTCTGTGTGTTTTTTGTTTTTACTAATTTTTTTTTTAATATTTTAAACAATTTTTTTTTACTTTATAGACATACCTAACAGAAATATACCTAAAAAGTAAAAAAATTATAAAAAAAAAAACCTTTTAAAAATTCACTAAATACCCAAAATACAAAAAAATATATATATACAAAAATTCAATACAATTTTTTTTATATTTTTACGTATTTATTAATTATTTTAAATATTTTTTCACATATTTTTTACTTTCATCTAAGTAAAATACATCTGAAAAAGCAAAAAAAATATTTAAAATTTAAAAAATATTCACTAAAAACAAAAAAATACGAAAATAAAAAAATTCAATTTTCAAAAAACTTAATTCAAAAAATTTAAACCAAACACACTTATTTTCCAAAAAAAATACCCATCATCGTTTGGGAGAAAAGATTATACCATCCTAGCTTTCATTCCCATCTGTCAAAAGCTATAAAATGATTCAAGTCTTTGTTGCTCAATGAACTGTCAAACAAGTAATAATTGCACCAACATATCACAACTCCGCAGAAGAGAATATATCATTATCCATCTCCATTGAACCCAATCTGCATTTCTCACTTCTCATTCATTAAACCAAATGCCAAAATCAAAGCATTGCCAAGTTTTACAAAATTCTTGTCAAACGAAACACGTTGCTCAAAAACCTACCTGATCTTCCACTAGGACATGACACCCAATTCGTATGTGAGCGTGTTTTGTGCAAATAATTTAGAAACAGCAAAACAGTCTACAGGATGAACTATCTGGCTAATGTCGTAATGAGGAGCATGGAAGTGGGAGACAAATTTTGTTATAGTCTCATCACCCCATTCACTTCCAACATTTGAGAAAATCCACTTCTCTTAAAATGTGTCTGAAGGTGCTTAGTAAAGTAGAGAACTGAAGTATTCAGAAGAAAACAACCAATCCAAAACAAAACTACAATAGAGAGGACTGAGGACTACTTTTGAAGGTAAAACACAACCATATAATAATAAATATAAAAAAAGGGTTCTTAATTTAGCAATAATCATACCACAAACAACTTCTATTTCCTGCAATAATAAGCAAATATAGAGTACTAAGAAAAACCTATCCTTCCGAATGCATAAGTGAAATTATGAAATCTACTTCCATCACCCTACCTCCACGGCTTCGTTTGTGCATTCCCAAACTTTTCGTAGTTAGCATATGGCCATGGCTGAGCAATCAAAATAGCATACTCTAGGTACAATACATCTAAGCAATGCTCAAGCAGTGAGGAGGGAAATATACGAATGTATGTATGAGCAAATACAAGATTCAACTCAACCAGGACATCCTCATCCACAACCTGTTTACCTCTTCCCACGAGATCTTTCGCCAGACCTTGGCCCTGGGTACTTTGAAAACTGTAGTCGCAAGCATGAAGATTTTGGATCATGCTCATCCATGTTATAGCCTGCACAATGCAAATAAAATTTAAATCTCCAAGCACTTCCTAAGACAGTTGCAGTAAATGAATATCTCGTTGTTTCACTACATCTTCATGGACAACTAAACTAAGAGACATAACTTGCAATCACTATCTTAATACAAACCCCTCACAGTAGCTCACTATCTTAATACAAACCCCTCACAGTAGCCCAGCAAAGAAACATGGATACGGACACGTGACACGACATGAACACACCAACACATTAAGTTTCAAAAAATGCAGGTCACGACATGTAGAGGATACACATGAAATATATAATTTTATATATTTATTATATGTTATATTTATTAATACATCATTTAAAGAAAATAAAAAATGCAAATATGACACTAATTCCTATAAATTTATATGATTTTTGTTTTGTTTTGTTATTGTATCTTAAGTTGTTTTGTTCAAACTTATAATTAGTTTCACATATATCTAATTGATAAACACGTGTGTTTAAACGATTGACACGTGTGTCCTCCAAGTGTCCAAAGAGTGTCCAGGTCTTTAAAAAAATTTAAAAAATAGGACACGTTTTGAAGAGTGTCGGACATGTGTCCTAAAAGTGTCCAAAAAGTATCAGTGTCCGACACGGATACGTCACCTTCTCAGAAGTGTCTGTGCTTCTTAGATGCCCAGCATTAACTCAGTACAAAATGCGTGTGATGTGTATGTTTATGTGTGCCCACATATGCGTGCGTGCATGAGTGCATAATCAAACATAAATTCAAGTAGAGACCATTAGCAGAAAAAATTGCAGAATTCAAAAGGAAAAGATCATGGAGAAGCAACCACAAACATTCAAACATCTTCATAATCAGATACAGAACACAAACAAATGAATGAGAGACTTATGCTCATTACCATAAAGAAATGAGAAGTGATCACCTTGCAAGGCACTCAAAGCAGTTGCTGCACAAGCTGGACTGACAAAATCCACAAAACAAAGGACAAGGGGATCACCACCACGCTGCATAGAAAAAGTGAATTGAACTCTATTAGGAAGGAAAAAAATAAAAAGAAAACAAAGTAAAACCAAGCAGGACAATTTAAGTGAGTTAAAATTCATTATGGTCTTACATGTCTGGACTCCTTGCTCACAAGTCTCACTTCCTTATAACCCACAAAAGGACGGAAAATATCTAATGATGATGTAAAGGAACGTGAACAATCAGAAGCAAATGCAACATTGCTGAGTAAAAAGAATGCGATAATGCAAAAAAAATTGTCATGATTTATGCAGGCTTACAAAATATCGAAGGATACGAGCCACTTCTCTCTTCCTGCAGTCAGAAGGAAGCCCTTCCACATACAGAGTATTTGAAGCATCTGGAGGGAGAGGCAATGTGTCACGGCCTGGCCTGGGCATTGCATCCACTGGCAGCCGACCATCAAAACCCAAGTCTCGGCCATTTGGTGCCCGTGCATCCACTGTAAACCGATCATCAAAACCCATGCCTCGACCATTTGGTGCTAGATCTCGCCCAACAGTCCCGGAATGACCCATTGCAGCAGGATCTGTTAATGAACGACCATGCATTCCAGCAACAGCACTCCTTCCTAACCCAATTCCACTAAGATTACTAGCTTCCCCGGAAGAAAAAGAAGTCGGTTGCTGTGAAAACGACAATATATATTTTAGCATACAAACAGGTAGCTGCTTGGTTAACCACAGGTTAATATTAGTATGGTACCGCATTTTGGAGGTAATGGTCATATGCTGATCCAATTGCTTTTGTGTCCTTTGCAGCCCAAGGTGCACCACGATCATCATCTCGTGCTAAAGAATAATGCATCTCATGAGCTGAGGGCACCCCAGATGGTGGAAGACCTGCAATTGGTACGAAAACAGACTTAAATTATATTCAACCCTAATTCAATAACCAAAAAAAAAAAAATAGCAGTATAGTGCAGTATGAAAATCATAGATAAGTTTCAAGCCGCATTCAAACCACCAAACCAATTTCTTTCAACTCCACTTTCCACAATACAGGTTACAGCCTTACACAATATGAACAAATGGTGTCATCGGGTAATAAAAAGCAATAACAACATGAAAAACAAATAAAACATAACAGTAAGAACGTCTATATAAGATTGAATTCAAGGTAGGGAGGAGAAGAAATGTAGGAGACATCAATGTCTAGGCTATAACAATAAAACAGCAGCCAATTAAAATAATATTCAAAACTTAAACAGCAAAAAGAAAAACCAAGTTTGTGCGTAAATAAACAAAAAAAACTAGTTGAGCTTAACAGTCAATGAGCAGCTAGGGAAGCCACAAGTGTTCCCATCAACACCCCAAAGCGCTACATTCGAAGGATTTTCCTAGCCATGAGCCAAAACAGTGTTTTGAAAAGTGTGCCTAAGCTCGAGGCGAGGCGAGGCGAGGCTTTGCGCCTCATGCATGGTGAGGCGAGGCGACATAGAGGAGGCGTAGTCGCGGCGATGAGGCGAGCTCTTTATGTTGAGGCTCGAGGCAAGCACCTTATGCACTTCGCGTTTCTTCCTCTCATTGCTTTCGCTGGTCTCTGGTTGTTGCTTGCTGGTCAATGCTCGATTCTCTTCTTCTTCTTTCGATCTTTATACCTTTTGTTGGATATTATATTTTGAATATACTACAGGCATTTGTTATGTTAAAAAGTTTGTCTATTTTATAATTTTGCTTTGCTTTTACTACGTGTGCCTCGCCTCGAGCCTCGCGTTTAAGCTATAGGAGACCTTATCACCTTTGTGCGCCTGGAGCCTTTTAAAACACTGAGCCAAAATAAACCCCAGTGGACAGATGTTTCAAAACGCATCCAAGAAAAAACAAAAATTGTCCACATCATTCTTCACACACAAAACAGAACCTCCAGAACCATAAAACCGTCACAAACCAAACCACAAACAACTACATCTAGGACACAATGTGTAAATCTAACCCTTTCTTTCCTTTTTTTCGTAGCCTTCCAAATCTCCTACCACCCTCTTTGTCAATTGCCTCCAATAAATGATCTGCCCAACTCAACACCTATGTAAGAAACCCCTAGAAAATCGTTGATGCTTCTCATATTTTGTTTCATCCATTCAGACCACTCCTTTTCTTTGGCCAACAATAGATCTCTCATCACCCCCTTGTCGTACTCCACAAGGAGAAAACACACACAAGGGTAAGCAAAATGCTTGAAATAATATATTTTCAATCCTTCCTCCTATACTAATGCTAGAAAACGCTAACCAACACCACCCGTATTAGTTAGGCACTTCCAATCCCTCTTCTCACTTCTGAACTAACGTAGTCTACTACAATCAACAATTATCCTCTAGGAATTAAATCCCCTAGCATACTCAAACTCGCCCTAATGATCCATACCCTCCACACAGACCCTCATCTCTAAGCTCCAACTTCAGACTGTATTCATACCTTTTGACAAAAATATACATCTGGACACTTAGACAAGCTTTAAAATCACTGATCATAGCGATGTTGTCATCACATTGAATGGAGACAAGCCGAGAATCCAGTCTCATCGGGGAGCTAATACTAATCTCAATGTAAGTTTGTAAAAAGACACCGACCAACTGAATACAACGGGCCAAGTCTTACAGCCAATATCGTTGAGATTTCCTAGTCTACTCCGAGCAAAAACGCTATTGAAGTTGCGCAGTAGCTTCCCTCCAACTCCCATTCCCTCCCATAAGGGACCCCAAATCTCATATATGTCGTCTATCCAGTCCAATGATCCCTGAATGTATTCGGTGTACTGCAGGCGTATAATACAAATCCGTAACAAATGAATTGTCTTCAAATCCAAACAGGCCAAAGCTCTCTCATCCATTCCCACCCAAGCCATCAAAAGATCAAGAATTAAGTCAAGTTTTGAAAATAGCTAGACAAGGGGGATAAATGTCTTTGTATCACCAAAACATGGACACTAGTTAATTTGTCACTAAAAAGAAAAGGCATTCAGCTTGTTTGGTTCTAGTTTTCAGAAAACAGCTTTTAGAAAATTCTACTTTTTTATTTTTCGTATTTTAATGTTTTCAATGAATTTTTTAACATTTTTTTTAATTTTTAGACACACCTAACAAGAACACACTTAAAAAGTATAATATTTGTGAAAAAAAATCTTTAAAAAATAAATTAAATACCAAAAAATACAAAAAAAAAAAAAACGAAAATTTAGTACATTTTTTGTATTGTAAAAATGAAAATTTAGTACATTTTCGTATTTTTGTGTATTTATTAATTTTTAAAAATATTTTTTCAGAAATATTTTACTATTTAGATACATCTAAACAAAGTGCATCTAAAAAATTACTTAAAATTTAAAAAATATTCACTAAAAACAAAAAAACACAAACAAAAAAAAGAAAACTCAGTTTTCAAAAAACTGAATTCAGAAAACTGAAACTAAACATACTGATTACTGCTCATAGTCAACGTAGTTGCAAGTTCTTCAACAAGATGCCTTTTTTAACACATACTATCATTATTGTCAAATAAAGAATTGAATCATGAATCATTTCACTAAAATAGTGAATTATCAGTCATACTAAATTATGAATCATATGATTCACTTTATTTAGCATACTCTATAATTATATAATATATATATATATATATTAAAATAAACACATAGTGTTTGAAATTAAATAAATATCCGTATAACTAAATTGTATATATGTATATGCATAAAAACATGTATATCAATATAATTAATTGATCTCTTTTTATTTTGCGAAAACAACGTATATTATGTAAACAGAATTGAATCACAATGAATTGTACTAAATCGCAATTGAAATGTAATTTAATTTCACTAAATTTACTGTTTTGAAACGGAAGTGTACCATATTTTAGAATGTGCGTACCAATAGGTAATTCGCTAGGGTGTTAGCATTTTTGGTAACATAGTTACACCCTATGGGTCATGATTTCACGCTTCTCTACCCATAAAGCAAATGTTTATGTCATGCCTTCTCTTGAATCTCACACAACTTCTCCAAGCTATTGACAGCAATATCAAGAAAAACAAGCCTTAGGGGTTCCAATATTTGAGTATAGCTACATACAGCTTTAGTTTCAACCAAATCATTGCATGCAACTCTGTAAGTAGGAGAAACTCACCTATAATTTACACAACCTAGGTGATGACATACAATTTTCAAGATTGTTCCATATGATGAAACAACATAATTGGAACTAAAGCTTGTTGAGTGAGCTTCACAAACAAAAACTTCTTTGAAAAAGTTTAACTTAGACAATGATTTTTCATGGCAGAAAAAGGAAGGGAAAAAAACTAAATTAAAAAACAAAATCGGAAGAACCAATTTATCAAAGATAGACTGATATCCGTTGTTGCATGCATGCATTCTTCACAATCATAAAATATACAAGCTTATAATCTGAACACATAAATCCAAAATTTTAAGCCTTCACTAAGTTTTGAAATCTATATACTGTATTGTCCCATATCAGTTGACAAGCTTGCATATAATCAGAATAGAATCTTTGACATTATAAAATACCTACACACTATCTATTTGGTGTTCATGACCACTTCAAGAAATTAAAAGATAAATACAATGACACTCACCCACTACTATCAACCTTGAGAAACTTAGCTTTAAGTTTGTCGTGAGAACTCCACAACATGCAAACTTTTATTATTACGCCAAATATAATGAAAATTTTTAATGAGAACTTGGATAGTTAAATAACAGTACGAGGATGAGAAGACAAGAGAAAGAAGTATAAAAAAAGTAGGAAACAATCTAGCAAGATGGATCCAATGAAGGGATTAGAGACAACATAAACCTTAGTTATTGGAAGAGTTACAAAATACTGAATGTACAGATATATGCCTTAGACTGTTGAACATACAGATCTCTAGGTGTTGTATATATCTTATGTTGTCAATCTGATATGAAGCTGCATCACAAATTGACACAATACCTCACACAAAAATCAGAACAGAACATAACTCAAAATAAATAAATAATCTGGTTAGCCAACAACCCGCATTTGAAGTTGTGAAGGTTGGGCTCACATACACCTTATCCCACAATTAATCCATCCATACAAATTTTCACTCAACAAAAAACTATTTTGAATAATCCATTCATAATTTTAGATATATTCTTGAGTTTTTAGGTTCTACAAACCAATGGTAGAGGCACATGGTGCCCAAAGTAGGCACCAAACCCTACTCAACTTTGTGAAAATATAATTTAACATTTTTTGCTAGTTTGCTCTCTCTAAATTTCACATGTGCCCCATAAGTTTTTTTTTATACAAAATTCTTACAATTTAACCCCTTTTGACATTTGAGTTACTGAAAAGTCCCTTCATATATTTCATATTCTCTCTCATATCTTTGACTACTCTCTCTCTCTCTCTCTCTCTCTCTCGTTCTCTATTTCTATGTCTATCCCAATTTTTAGCAAAGATCATGAAAGTGGTTATATTATAATTACTAGTTCAAATTACCTTTAGTGCAGTGTTACACTAGTGTTTTGCAGTCATTTGATGTCACTTCTTTTCTTTTCTTTTCAATTAGGATATAAATTATACTCTGTTTTAGTAACCATTTTATGTGAAAATGGAGAACTTTCTGTCAAGTTACCACTTTAGATGCATATGAAAACTAACAGATGAGACTTAAACAAAATAGCTCAATTATAATGAGGTCCCACAAAATATAACTAAAAATGGTATAAATACTGGTGGTTTTAGTTATTAATTCTATACAAAATGAAAAATGTTAGAAAACCCTAAAACAGTTTTCCCAATTACACCCAAATGTGACATGAAAAGTGGCGACCTTTGATTTTGTCACACAATCAATCATATAGAGTCCAACTCCCTTGCAACATTATTGTTGATGAACTTGTAGGCTAAATTGTTGGTCTCTAGCATTTCTCATCTCAAATTTGTCCCCAAAACTAATTTTTTGACCCCGCCGCGAGCTACTAAAACTAACAAAAACAGATCCAAGAATACACAAGAACCCCCAAATCACAGAAAAACAAATATGCAAAACAAATTAAACTGGTAATTCGTATACAAAAAAGTTCAAAGCGTGACAATTTACCATAGTCAGAGCGAGGCCGCTTAAGCATGCCAGCAACCGAAGGATTCACAGGTTGTTGTCGATTCCAGTAGCTATCCCCCATTTCTCTGAAAACAATTAACAAGTTACATACATACATACATACATACATATATATATACATGTGTATGTCTGTGTATGTATGCCCAGAGAGAGAGAGAGAATGGAAAACCCTAATTGAAAGAGTACCTGTAAAACCCTAGCTCTCGGCTCAGCCTTGCGTCGTACCGGGTCGAGGTATGTTCCTCTTACTTATATTGTACCTGAGTTAATGGAGAGTCGATTCGCACGAGTCACGATAGGTCCGCTTCAAATTTTAGGATAAATTACAAATACACCCCTCAGGTTTCTTTAAAATACATATTGCCCTATGTAATTTGGAAAATTACGATTACCTCCTTGTCATAATTTTTTTATTTAACAGAATTAAGTGAAAAAATGAAATTCATAATTTTTCTCCTATATAATAATAAAATTACTTAAATTAATAATCAAAATATATTTCTAATATCATTAAAAACTGTTAATTGACTTGATAATTTATTAATAAAATTGGTGATATGTTATGAAATTAAAAATCTCAAAGGGTGGAATGTAATTTTCAGAACCACTGGAGGCTATTCATATTTTAATCAAACGTCAAGGGATATATTTGTAATTTACCCAATATTTTATTTATTTATTTTTTTCAAAATATAAAAATGAGAAATTTTTTCCAAAAAAAATTATAGATAAATGATAAATATTATACATTAATAATTAATGTTGTAAATTTTTTTTTATGAATTTGTAATAATTTTTTTATAGTACCACTTATCAGTAGGGGTGAGCAGCGGATATACTGATCCGTTCAAACTGACCGAACCAAACCGATTCGTCGCATTTTGGACGGATGCGTGATGACGAGCAGACAGTTGCAGATGAATTTTTTTCAATCTGTTTAGTTATGGAGGGATGACAAAGTTGAGGTTTCTTTGGCCGCAACCGAACCGCCAAACCACGAGCACCCCTAATAATTTATAAGACTTTGTATTTTCAAATTGTTTAGATATTCTGTTTATGTCTTCAATTGAAAAAAAAAATTAATATTCTGTTGAATATATTTTGTTGAAAAGAGTTTTCAACTTGAATATATTTTTTGCATTGAAAAAAATAAATGTATTATTTATCTACATTTTTTTATTTTTAAATCTAGCTCTAAAAATAATAAATAAAAAAGATGATATATGCTGATTGGTTTTTGTTTTCAAAAACAGATATAGATGCAACAATATAAAGACATGTAATCTCTACTACTGCTCTGTTCATGTTTTGGTGATTTGAATTGTTTTTATATTTTAAGAACCACAGATTGTAATACTTTATGTGGATGAGGTATACTGTGATTATAATATGTGAATGAGGCATGCAGTGATTATAATATTCTAAAGTTTCAAACTTTCTTTCTTTAGATGAGGCATACAGTGATTGTAATACTTTTTTAAGTCATTGACTGTAATACTTTTTTCTTTTCTTTTTTAGATAGTGCACAAGTCGAATTATGTTGAAAATTTATAAAATTTTAAACCACCAAGTCGATTTGCATCAATCCATCAATCCGCCAATCCACCAATCCGCTCAATCCACATCCGCTGGATTGGCAGACGGATGTAAATTGATTTTTTTTAATTCGCCAATTTAACGGACGAATGACAGATTTGAGGTTCCATAGCCGCAACCGACTCGCGCCCACCCCTAATTATTAGTAAAAGATTATCTCAATAGCAATGGAAAAAATTATAACAATAATTTATATTAATGCTGAAAAGGATAAAAATTATTTTAAAATTAAATTATTATGATTACTCATAACCTTATTCTTTGAAATTAAGCATTTTATTTTCCTTAAAAAAAAACTAAGTGAAAATTTTACCATAAAAGAAACACAACATATAACACCTTAAATCGAGTCATTCAAAATTCGATTATAAAATTAGACTGTATTAATTAAAATACAAATTTCAGTTTTCAACCTGAATAAAATGTGGATAGAGGCCTTGGGCAATCCAAGCCCAATTTGTAATTATGTGATACTATGTATATATATGTGATAAAATACTAAATATCACCCTCTCCTCTCACTCTTACATCGAATATTCTCTCTTTTTGTTTGAGATTTAGATATTATCGGCATTTATAATTATGTGGTATTATATATCTATATATATATTAAGAAAAATGAGATTTTTAATGAAAAAAGTTTTGTCAAACTCAAAATTCTCATTCTATTTTGTTAGATTTTGTATTTTTTATATAATGAAAAAATCCTCTATTAGTTAGGTTTTATCGAATTATCTAAAAAAAAATTATTATACCCTGATTTACACATTGTAAAATGAAAGTTAATTAATTTATTTACAAATTTAAATTTAGAAATTAAAAAAAAAGTTAACAAATTAGTTTTAAAATTTAAATTTTTGTACCACTAAAATATGTGAATCAATTCACATCTTCTATAAAAAATTTCTCTTGATATTTAGGCCTCGTTTGGCAGGTGCCTATTTTAGCTAAAATGTCAAAAAGTTACTAAAAAAATCAAAAAACCAACAACTCATACCAAAAAGTCAAAGATTCCATTTTTTTTCTACTTTTTGCACATCTTTTCGTAAAAAACCAAAAGTTATCCCAAACATACTAGTTTTTTTTACATCACATTTTAACCAAAAAGTTACTAAAAAAGCATGTTTCCAAATGATACCTTAATAGTTTTATATACATCGACATTCCAATCTATCTATCTATATAATAAAAATAACGGTTTTCAAAAATGTCTAAGAGATATAATTGGTTAGAACGGTGTGGATTGACTTAATTAAAGATTGAATGACTGAGATTACTTGATTCGAAATAAATTTCCCGTCCAAATAATTGTTAGCTTTTATTTTATACAATCTCACATCGGGAAAATAAGAAAAATGTAAATTATTTCACTTATATAATGTGAACCTTATTATAATCTCATTTAATTTTGTAGTATTGTGCATGCTTCAATTTAAAGCAGTTTAAATTTTAAAATAAATTTAAAAGTTTTAATTAATTAATTTTTGTATAAATTAGTTGGTCGTTTGAATTAGCTGATTAGGTTTAACTGTTTTCGATTTGACTGATTCGTTTGTTTAATTGTGATTTTAGCGATTTTATCAAAATATGTTGGTTATATTTGTTTAATTCAAAATAAACTTCTCACCTAAACAATTATTAGATTTTAGTTTACACAATTTCACATCGGGAAAAAGAATGATTGCGTGAATTGTTTCACTTATATAAAGTGAATCTTATACTCTCAGTTAATATTGTAATATAATTCATACTTCAGTTTAATATAATTTAAATTTTAAAAGTTTCAATTAATTAATTTTTGTGTAAGTTAGTTGGTTTTCAAACCTGGCTGGGTAACTTGATTTGAAATAAACTTCCTGCCTAAACAATTGATGATTTTTATTTTACACAATCCCACATCGAGAAAAGAAGGAAAAAATGAATTATTTCACTTATATAGAGTGAATCTTATGGTCCCATTTAATATTGTACTGTTGTGTATGTTTCAATTCAAGATAGTTTAAATTTTAAAATAAAATTTAAAAGTTTTAATTAATTAATTTGTATGTAAATTGGTTGGTATTTTGACATAACCGATTAGGCTGAACTATTTTTGGTTTAATTGATTTACTAGTTTAACTATGATTTTAGCGGTTTTATCAAAATATATTAGTTATATTTATTTGATTCAAAATAAACTTCTCATCTAAACAATTATTAGCTTTTAGTTTATACAATCCTGCATCGAGAAAAGAATGATTGAGTGAGTTGATTCACTATTTGGCAATAGGCTTTTTTGGCTTTTTGGGCTAGATTAACATTAAATGATAAAATAAACTAAAATAGTTAATAAGATAAAATGTCACATCAAACTCCGTAGTTATTTCACTTTTTCTCTCACAAACATCACGTCCTACTACAAAAAAAATACAACCATCTTTCAAAACACAAAAATTTTAGCCAATTAAAATAGCCTAAAACTAAAATGGCATACTAAAATAGTCAACTTTCTAAACGAGGCCAAAATGTTATATTAAATCCATAATCATTTTATTTTTTCTCTCACAAATATCGCATCTAACTATAAAAAAAAATTCAACTTTATTCCCAAACACAACTGTTTTAGCCTACTAAATAGCCAACTTCTCAAACACCTCCAAAGTGAATCTTATACTTCTATTTAATATTTTAATATTATTCATATTTCATTTCAATACAATTTAAATTTTTAAAGTTTCAATTAATTAATTTTTGTGTGAATTGATTGGTTTTCTAATCTGGCTAGGTATTTTGATTCGAAATAAACTTTCTGTCTAAACAATTGTTAACTTTTATTTTACACAATCTCACATCGAGAAAAGAAAAAAAAAAAAAGTGAATTGTTTCACTTATATAAAGTAAACCTTATGGTCTCATTTAATATTGTAGTGTTGTACATATTTCAGTTCAAAACAGTTTCAATTTTAAAAGTTTTAATTAATTAATAAATTTATGTGTAAGTTGGTTAGTTTTTTAACCTAGCTGATTAGGTTAAACCATTTTCGGTTTGATTGATTCGTTGGTTTAACCGCGATTTTAGTGGTTTTATCAAAATATATTGGTTAGATTTGTTTGATTCGAGATAAACTTCTCACCTAAATAATTTTTAGTTTTGAGTTTATACAATTCCACATCGAAAAAAGAATGATTGAGTGAGTTATTTCACTTATATAAAGTGAACTTTATACTTTCATTTAATATTGTAATGTTGTTCATATTTCAATTCAATACAATTTAAATTTAAATTTAAATTTTAAAAGTTTTAATTAATTAATTTTTGTGTGAGTTGGTTGGTCTTTTTAACTCAATCGTGTAGACTTAATCGTTTTCGATTTGGCTAATTCATTCGTTTAATTGTTATTTTTAGTTATTTTATTAAAATATATTAATATTCTTTAGGAAACGGTAGTTAATCTCACCCTAAAGAGAGACAATTGACGAGCTATTTGATTTTTAGCTTTTATCAAAAAAATTTATTACTATTATTTAAAATTTTAGAGAAATTACCAATAGGTCTTATTTTTTAGACTTATTACCCATTAGTCCTATTGATAAATTTATAATAAATTTCTCAATCTCTTATTTTTATAAATAAATTTATAGTGATAAATTTATCAGTCTCCTTTATTTATAGTGATAAAT